ACGTCAGCTCCATCTGGTCAAAACATTTACAGTATGTCCATTGCAATTTAGTCACAAATATTTCCGTTGTAATGATGTCTCATCTTCTATATCAGCAACTTATTTCGGACATATACAAAATATACTTAAAATATACAGTACTTAAATAAACCTGATTTATGAGAAATGTCATATAAAGTAACTTATACTCCGATAAATAATTTGTTACTTGTGTTTTTATAAATTATAAAATTATAAACCATGTTTTTATTGTTCACCAGGGCCAAAGAGGAAATACAGGTGACAGAGGAGAGATGGTAAGACTCCAGACAGATTGTGAATTCATGTCTTCTAACTCGCTGATGCTAATCTAGGATCTAAAATAATAAGAGGCTAACAGCTCATCAACCTTGAACGTTTCTGGAGAAATCATTACTGGTCTGTCAAACTCACAGTGGAACTTTAAATCAGATCATTTTTGAAAGCCTGTATTTAAGCTCTCTACTGCTCGGGTAAACCCCTGTTAGTGAAGGAAATACTGTCTTTGATTAGTTTAATATAGAAATCAATATAGTCTACTGGAAATATAACTTAATTTATCACATATTACAAATGGTTTGCGTCATATAGCAGCTGTATTTTGTCTTACAGAGGTTTGACAGGATGTTTGCCTCCATCATGTTTTTATCCATTATGCTAAATTTGATCAATGTGATGTGAAGAAAATCAATGAGGGAGAGCAACTATATTTATGTAAACAAACCTAATGGTTATTAATGTACCGCAGTTAAACCACAATAACACCAGTGAATATAACCAATGATTATGTTTTGAATGGACGGATGTGTATCTGCATCATTGCAGTATAAACTGTATAGACTAGTGTGGTGTTGTCATGGTGATCTAATGATTTTTGTCATCAGGGATTGAAAGGAGAAAAAGGAGAACATGGTCGACCAGGGGATCATGTGAGTTTCTTTTGATCAGCTTTGTTGTACGATAACACATTTTCTTGAATGATGTGAAGTTTCTTGTGCTTAGATTCAGAAATTTAAAATTAATTCATCATTGGCTAGGGAAGTCATTATTTTTTTTCAAGTTTTGAGGGTCCACAGTGCCACCATGTGGCCATTTACTAACCAGTTCTCCTGAGCCATGGAGTTTGAATTTCTGTTTTTTCCAGTGCACGTCTCATCTCTCTGAAAAGGTCACAGTCTATTTCTATGGCTTTTATGTGAATTTTCTTCTATTTTAAATGCAAACCCTTTTTTTTATCACTGGTAAAGACTGTATCTTGTCTCCACCAGGTTTAGCACATTTTTGTATTGGATCATTTGTGTTTGATGCTGCATATTCTCATTTACACTGCTGCCAAGGTCTTAGAGAAACAATCTATTTCATGTAACTTCCCATAATTCTTGAACACGCTGTGCAATTGTGACCAAATTTAGATGACACGGCGCCGTATCAAAGTGATTCTGCTGATATCTGATGCTATTGTAGCGTAAAGGTGGAGGTACAGCAGCATGGTGACTTTAACTGCTCATAGCAGTCATAGTTCAGACTCTAGCTCACATTTCCATCATTTCAACATTATCCTAAAATCACAATCAATGTCTGTGACTGTGCATTTTGATAAAGATCTAAATGCAATTTTACATTCTTGTTACAGTTTTTTCCTTCAATTATCAACTGTTTTCACTGACTCCTACCTTGACTTTGATTGACAGGGCTCCGCTGGTCCGATGGGACTGAAAGGAGAGGTAAGAATCTGAATGCCTTAATTACTTCCTCCATCCAGTCTGAGCTATCATTTGTATTGTTTAACCCTGGGCTTGTATTTATGCCAGAAAGGGACAGCAGGGGATCCGGGGCAGAGAGGTCAGGAAGGTCAAGTGGGACGGCCTGGACAGTTGGGTCAGTCAGGCTCATCTGGCCCCCGAGGGCTACAGGGGGACACTGGTCCACCTGGTCCACCTGGACCTGAAGGAAGATCTGTATGTGTGATACACATCATGTAGCCAATCATGATTAATCATGTCTGAGATTAACTGACATTGATGAACTATAGTTTACTGAAGATACATATGATCCATTACTTTATCACAGGCAAGTGAATTGTCGGACAACCACATTCGGCAAATTTGCAGAGACATTCTCCAGAGTGAGTAGATAGATTAAAAAACAAATGTTGTATCCCTATGTCTTGACCATACACATCTGAAATCTTCTCATTGTCAATTGTAGCTGAGCTGCCTTTATTGTTGCTGAGCAACCAGCAGAGTAGCTGCACCCGATGTCAAAGCCGGCCTGGATCTGCAGGTCCTCCAGGTCCAGCTGGGCCCCAGGGACTCAGGGGTCTTCCAGGACTAGGCGGCTCCAGGGGACAGCCAGGCCACCCTGGTCGGCCGGGACACCCTGGTATTAATGGACTCAAAGGTAAAAGCAAGCTTTCAGCCATCACTGAAATTATTTTTCAGGATGCTCAAACAAGGACACTTGTGTTTGCAGGAGATTCTGGTTTCAAGGGTGAGAAGGGGAGTACTGGTCGAACCATGATGGGAGACCAAGGGCCACCAGGGCCTTCAGGTAAATTATGTGACTAATTATTCAATTCATCACTCATTATTTTCTGAGACCATATGGAAGTTAAGTTGATGAGGTGCTTGTTTCTCCACAGGTCCAGTGGGTCCCCAGGGGTACAGTAAACCAGGTTCTCCAGGTAACCCTGGACCCCCTGGTCTGAACGGAGCAGAGGGTAAGACTGGTAACCCTGGCAACCCCGGTCAACCTGGGGTGTGTGATCCATCCATGTGCTACGGTAGCATGATGAGGCGGGATCCTTACAGCAAAGGGCCAAATTATTGACATCATAACTGCAGGCACCAGTTTCCAGTTGATGTGGAACTAACGGTCATTCTCAGGAAGATCTCATCTTTACAGTTTCTCTCTGTCATGGAAACAGAACGGACTGGTAATAACATGACTGGTAATAACACCAGTCACGTGATCTCAGTCAACACAACGAGATCCTGTCACATTTTCATCTATTGGTGTTTTGTATCATTGTTCCAACATCTAAGAGCATGCTTTTTTAATAGAGAATCAATAAAAGTTCTCTATGTCTGGGTGTCCCTCAGGGCAGTATGGCTGGTACATTTTACCATATTGCCCCCTGGTGTTGCTTCGTTGCATGACGCTGTCTACATTTTCACAGTGGGTGCTGTACATTACATAAAAAAACAAAAAAACAAAAAAAATGACTTCTATAATCTCCATGTTCGGTGATTTCATCAGAAAATGTTTCAGCACAAAACTGTGAGTTTGATTTCCTGTGGCTGCTGATGAGCTGCTGTAAGCTTGTGTTCCTGAAGCATCCAGTTTAATGTAACTCTCGATGAAAACAGAAGCTAATAGTGCGTATCATCTGAGATAAATCAATACTTCTGTTTATGATATGTTCCTCTATGTGTCATTTTATTCCAGTTAAGAAGTGAGATGTTAAAAGTTTCACCATCTTAGAACATGCTGACAATTTAATAAGTTTTGTGTCATGTATGTGAGGCATACCTTTCATTACTGTAGCAGGTATTTTATTGTTATTTATAAGAGCGTCATGACTGTGTATTTCAGCAGTGACATATCTTGAGTAGCTTTTGTAATTTTATTTTTTGTGTTAAGTTGACTTTTGTATGAATCTTTCTTTTTTGCTATTTTCTTACTAGAATTAAAAAAATATCCCAATGGTTTGTGAACCTGGATCGTCCTCACCTGTGCGCTTGAAGTTTCAGGTCTATATCAGGTCATGTTGTAAATGTCATCTTAGATGGATGAGTGGATGGATGGATGGATGGACAGTTGGACAGATGGAGGGACGGACGGACGGATGGATGATGGATAGATAGATAGATAGATAGATAGATAGATTTGTTTTTATACTTGCCTTTGTTGCCCCTTTAGGATATTTTCCAGTACAAACACTGACATTGTCCTGACCAGTCGACCTCATTGGGACCAAAGCTTCAGACCAAAGCTTGGACCCAATGAGGGTGATGAGTAGACGCAGAGTTATATTTGACCCCTCAACAGACCGTAGAGACCCCTGGTGAAGGGTCAGGTTAATGGACAGGGCAGGTTAGAGGCAAGACAAATGAATGGGTTCAGAAGGATTCTGGTTTGGCTGTCCACAATGAATGGAAATCAATGCAAAGTCCCAATAAGGAAAGCCAGGAGCTAGACTTCAGAAATACCAGTTTAATTGTATTCAGTTTCTCCACTAGGTGTCGCTGTGTGGTTATACACTTTACTTGAGTGGGAGCTTCCTTTTTTCCTCCATGTTGGGCAGCCGCCAGCCATCACATTGAAACCTCTAACTATTAATGTGACTGATTATTCCAGCATTTACTTCTACAACATCTACCACTAACTTAAAGCTCCTCTGGGGAAGCTAATTCTGGCTTGAATCAGCTTTTCTGTAGGCTACTCACGTTTTTGCTCTTCAGGGAACTAAACTCTAAAATAATGAAGATGGTTGTGGAACATGCTCTGGGTCTGTGGTTCCCATAGGTAATGTGCAGTATTTATATCAATCTTTTTGTAATCTCATATTATAATATCATTTTGGTAAATTTGGCTCATTTGTTTGGGAACTTAATGAATCATTATACTCATCTAGTATTTAAAGAAACACATATAGGATCCTTGTTGTGGCTGAATGCAGCTGCAGAGCCACTTTCTCCCATAAACACGCTGACTTCAATAAGTTGAGGTGATTAACAGGCTCTGTCATTATTCTTTCACTCGTTAAGACGCGGCCTCTCGGATTTCAAGTGTCTCCTTTTTCACTCCCGAGCCGCCACATTCATCATGGGACCCGGGCTGAAGTTTTATTGCTGCCACTAGAGGTGGATGCAAAAACAACAAAAAAGGAAAAGTTGAAATGTGTGGGATGGACTCAGAGGGCAACTCGCCCCGGTACGCACTCACTCTCTGGTGGGGGGAGTGGGAAAGAAGAAAAAATGCGCACAGGGGCATGAGTGGAGAGCTCACTTTGTGACACAGTTCAACACATTTCATCCTCTTGGAAGTGCAGGGTGATCCCTCGACTCTATATGGGCGTACCTCCGTGTTTTTTTTTTCATCACAGAGGAGCAAGGTGAGGGACGGGGTCATAACTCCATAAATACTTGCTGTGGCACAGACTGTGGATGGAGCCTGGAGTAGTAGGAGCTGGAGGAACCGTGCGCACTGGACTTTTCTGCAGGCTGATCCCTCACTTTAGAAGGGTTGACTGGTAAAAGAAAAAACACCCTCTGAAACTTTATGCCTCTGGCTAACATGGAGACTCTATGATTGCGAACAAGTTGCTTTATTTTCCTCTCAGAGTTGCGATGTAGTTCAACCTCACGCCCAAAGTGAGTCCAAAGATGACAGCGCTTACGCCACTGAACCGCGCCGTGCTCGGACTCGCGTGGAGCTGCCTGAGCTTTCTCTCCATTGCGCACTGCGGCTTGACTGACAACCATGTGCACTCCAGCTTTATTTACAGGCGGTTGCGCAATCACGAGCGCAGGGAGATCCAGCGAGAGATCCTCTCCATCCTGGGCCTGCCCCACCGTCCGAGGCCCTTCTCTCCCGGGAAGCAGGCGTCCTCCGCGCCGCTCTTCATGATCGACCTGTACAACGCCATGGCCGTGGAGGAGGAGGAGAGCGCGCACCAGCAGCTGCAGCAGCAGGGCGCAGGGAAGAGCGTCAGTGCCAAGGCTCAAGGGCACTCTAGGAGGGGATACTACAGTCCGCAGCATGCAGGGTACTCCCGCGTGGCACAGCCCTACCGAGCGGCCCCTCTGTTGGGCCACAGCCCCGCGCTCACCACGGCGCACGACACCAACTTTCTCAATGACGCAGACATGGTCATGAGTTTTGTCAATTTAGGTAAGTCGAGGCCTGTTACAGTAGCCTCATTGGTTACCTGCTTTTATTTAATCAAAATCAAAAACGAGTTTTAACGGATCAATTCATTAAATTGGATGAATTTGGTCTCATTTAACATTTAGAAATGACGACATTTCAATACAGAATCTATATCTATGAGAAAAGAACAGTCCACCTCCTCTCCACCGCATTCTCTTATTATTTTATCCACACCCGGAGAAGAGTCAAACGTTTCTGCACATTAGATTTAATTTTCTTTACAAGAGGAAATAAGAAGTTGTAGCTGCTGCAGCAAGAAAGTCAGCTTTCCAGAGTTAGGCCCATATTTAGATCAGTTTATGTTTTTCTTGGCCTACCTCTGATATTGTGGAAATATCAGCACATGGAGTTCATTCATTTTGTCAAAATAATTTAACACACTCGAGATTTAGTTTTGAATAATCACACAAAAACTATGAAAACTGTGCTGAGCATCAAATATGTAGTTTTCAGCTTCCTGTCACTCAGCTACAGGCTGTTGTTTTGTTCTACATTAAAACGTGAAAATGTAATTATCTGGCCTCACAAGCTGCTTTTGGCTTAAGTGAAATATTTTTTTTTGCATTTGTAACAGAATTAACTGTTTGATCGCATCATTCTGAGCTGTTTTCTATTTGAAAAAGCAGCTGATCAGTATAATGATTGTGTTTGTTCAGTAGCCGCGACCCTTAACCCTGCAGTTCAGAGAAACTTATCAGATGACTGTCTGACCTTGGGGGGGAAATTGGTCTAAATGATTTCCTGTTGTTAAAAGGGGAGTGATATTGACTGGTGCCGATGTGTTCTCCTGGTTTGGACACTAAGAGAAAGAAGTAGTGTCTTTTCCTTGTATTTGTGACCTTTGCAGCATTTATTGTTCTTTATATACAAGGCATGGAAACATACTCTAAAGTGGAACATGCAACATTGAAAAAACCTAAATGAATCATTAAATACAACACCATAAAACAAACTTCACATAATGGCAGTACTGTTGTGTTGAGGATTTTTATTTTCATAAAGATATAAAACATGTAAAAGTGAATTTGCGTAGAGTTTCTTGGGAGTATAATCCCTCACCTTGGCCTGGGCCCATCTGTTTCCACTTACCAGTATACCAGGGCATGTACACTGTCAGCCTTGAAAGCTCTGTTCTCGTTCTGGGGACTGTCAGCGAAGTGCTCAATGGGCCTCTGTCTTTAATACTGTATGCTCAAATATAGCTACTGACCTCAGCTGTTTTAGAAATGTCTATGTGGGACCTCATGCAGTTTCATATGCCTACTGTAACTATAAATATGAAGTCAGTTATTTAATAAATTCAAATACATAAATGAGATTGTACGCAAGGGAAGTAAAGATGTAATTCTGCAACACATGAGTTATTTATTCATCTTATTAACACCATAATGACACCATCCTGGTAGAACAAGCAGAGTCCAGTTAATATACAACACATCAACAATGCACTGGGCTAACCCTGACCAGGGAGCGAGGTCATTATTATTTAATCTTTGGCTATTTGAAAGTTAAAAGATGTGTGCTCTATGTGGCACCTCTGCTTCAGATTACTGCCTGTGGATACTATAATGGAACACGCTCAATGGGTAAAAGTCAGACCTGACCTCTGACCTCTTTGTGCTAAGTAACCGCAGACGCTCGCTCTTGATAAAATATCAGGGAAATGCTCTGCGTGATATCACCACTCACGTCAGAAAGGTAGGGATCAGGGGTGCGAGGCGGTTGGCAACCACTTTTTAGTCCCATCTTTAGTCTGCAAGGGATTTTGTCGATTCCCTCAGGCTCTTTGACGAGATTTTCCATAATTTTATTGAGGGGGCATTAGTTAAAAAACAAGCAGTGCATGCAGCACCTTCTATTTCTTTCCATACCAATAAAATCTATGAGTTTGCAAATGTTTTTTTAAAAATGACAGGCCCTAAAAATATATTTCACTTAACTCTGAATGTTGGAAATAGTTCGATTTAAAGGTTAAGGGTCATTAAACTCTCTTAGCACATTGAAACAATATGAAACCTATAGGAGGTCGGTGTGAGGTCAGGAATGAGGTCGGAGTCTATGCTCACATGACGTGGAGGAGTCCTGTCTGCTCTTTTCTCTCACTTGAGGATCAGACCAAAGTGTCTTTAATTGAAATCAGCCTGTTTTTCTTAACTGACAGCCCATTCATCATGGCCAGAGAATGCAGTTAGGCACACAGTAGAACCCCTGTCTGGGAACTGCTACCTGTATTCAGTTGACTGATTTAATGAACTGGAAAGTGCTTTTGTTGGTAGTCAAAATGTTTGGGTTGGACCTGGAATGTCGAAGAAGATGTAATAAATTACTCTCTCTCGCCGCGCTAACCCTGGCATATTTTGTCTTTTGAGCAACACATGCAGCGGTTCAAGGAGGTGAAGCCATAATTCTTGATCAGTGTGTGTGTGTGAAGCTTTTGCTGCCAGTAAAAATGAAATTCATCCTAAAATATTTTCTTTCCCAGTGGAGAAAGATAAAGATTTTTCTCATCAGCGAAGGCACTACAAGGAGTTCCGTTTCGATCTGACTCAGATCCCAGACGGAGAGGCCGTGACGGCCGCAGAGTTTCGGGTCTACAAGGACCGCAGTCACGCCCGCTACGACAATATCACTCTGAAGGTTACCATATATCAAGTCATCAAGGAGTATCAGAACAAGTAAGTGTCGAACCAAAGAAAAACAAATGGATTTATTACTCTGCTCTGTACTTAGGTAATTCTAAAGTATGCTACTGTTATTTTACTTCAGTATTTCTATTTTCTGCTGCTTTGTACTTCTAAGAATTCATATGCAAATATAATAAAAAAAGTTTAAAGTTACTTTACGGAAAAGGATTTTACAGTCAAAACATATGACCAACTAAAAGAGAGCATATCTCCACCAAGGCCCAACACTCGCTTTGTGATACCACATTTAACAATCATAAATATCAGTCTCCTAAACATGCCTGGTTTTATTTCATCAAGATCTTTGAATTATTCTCTGATAAAATCAATGAAAATATTGAAAAACGGATCTCATTATGTTGAAGACATTGAAAAAAAAAATCCTGCATATTCGCCTGATCCAAATCCACACCAAATCTCAAAGAGTTCTTTCCTGACCCAAAAAACTTGATTTCACCAAGTTTTGTGATAATCCGTTCAGTAGTTTTTGTGTAATCTCACCAACAAACAAACAAATGCAGATGAAAAAACCCTCTTTGTTGGATGTGATCACAAACTGCTCTACCTCAACTAAAACATTAATATGATGTTTTCTCAGTAGCATCATAGTAAAGTAATATAACAGGGAATTTTTAGTTTCCTCCTGAGTGATTATTAAAAGTATTTTTTCTAATATACTTTGCTTATGTACTTCATCATGAAAATCATTTATGCTTTTATTTTGTTCCTACCTTTATTCAAGTTAAAGATCTCAATGCGTCCTGCAGCAGTGATTGAAAGGAATAATATTAATGTTGAGGACAAACAGATACAGATCGATGACATCAAAAATTTGCCCGGTCTCATGTAATCCCAGAAGAATCAAACATCTCAAAGAAAAGGACTTTGACTTGAAGCCTGCTCTCAGTTATTGAAAATGCTGCAAAACACTAATCAGGCAGCCAAACATCTCTCTGTCTGCAAGGGCAAATTGATTGAAAGGAAACAGAAATAGCTGTTACTTCAGCTGTGCTTTGATCCACTGCAGTAATCTCATTTCACAGTTTAAAAAAAAAAAAAGCCAACCGGTCCAGCAGCTTTTGTCTTGCATGGCTGAAAGTTTCCACTCACACAGAACGTCCCTCTATCTCCAACTCTGCTCTCCTTCATTCGCACCATGTCTGCCTTACAAATATAGTTCGCGGATAAAGAGAGCTCCATTAGTGAGTTGGCCACTTATGAAACTTGGAAGGTCCATCAGTTATCACTCGTCTTGTGTTGCCTGCCAAACTGGCCGGGGCCCAGATGAAACCATGAGGGCCCAGATTAAGGGGGCCCTCCTTTGGGTGCTCCCCTGATCACTGTTATGCCCGCCACCTGCCTGTCTTAACAATATACCGGAAGTTTAAACCATGACATAGCTGAATACACAGGGGTGTATTTAAAACTGGGCCCACATTTGCTTGCCAAAAATGTGTGTGGGTGATTGAAGGGGAGATATGGCCCTCCTGGGCTTTGAAAAGGTCCAAGTCAATGGACTCTGCCATCTTAAAGGGAAAGACGGCTGCAGTTTAAGTTTTCATGGGGAATAACATGTTTCTGTTAGTGTTCACAAAGAAAAGCACAGCTTTCCCAGTGTGAGAAATCTGACACGTTATCAGAGTGTGTGATTTAAAAACAACCAGTTTCTTCAAGCTTAACAAGCAACAGTGATTTTATATTTTAGTACAATAAGTTTCTAAAACCACACACGTTAGTTCATGTTTTTCTTCAATGTATATGACAAAATGTTTTTTTGCAGTTGAAAATTAATTCAAGACTTTTTAAGAAGTTTTTTCATACCAATTGAAATTGAATTGAACACCAAACTTACCACGGAAATAGACACAATAAGGGAAAATATACTTCCAACTAAACACATTGATGCCAATTAGACTCCACCAACATGATCCTCATTGTCCCATGTTTAAAATATTTTCGACACACAGAAGACTTCCAGGCCCTGATTTTAAACCACCATGATTATTTGTCATTCTCAAACCACTTATTGTTAAATGTACATTTCCCTGTGTTCATTCTGCACTTTGGCTTGAAAGGCATTAGTTTAACCTCAGACAGACTAATGATTCAGAGCATATTCTAATGATGATCTAATGATGAACTAATGATTCTATCCAAAAGAATGTTAAGACCCATTCAATCTGAATTTAAGACTGTTTGATACTTTTCAAGGCCTTTTACGAGCAAAATTGAATTGAATATACATTTTAAGACTTTTCCTCGGCCAATGTAGTTAAAGGTAGGGTTGGTAAGTTGTTTTTGAAAAAGCTTTATCTTATTTAATGATGATAGTCAGAAGTTAGTGAGTCAGTTGCAGTTCAGTGTACGTTCTTGTATTTTGGGGACGTAGCTTTCAGAGGGCTGATGGGACGTATGGGTAGCATTTTTCAGTGTAGCTTGCCGTTGCTAGTTTTTCCAGGATTACCAACTCTAGCTTTAAGTTATAGTTCCTTTAGTGAATTAAAACAATTTCATTTGGGCTTTTTAAGGATCTAGATAGAAAATTGTAGCCTTCTCTCATCTCTCACATCTTGTCAATAAAATCACTTCACAGCTGCATTCAGTGTTAAATATGTGAAGTTTAAGATTAAACTGGAGATGCTGGTGTTAAAGGTAGAGTTGTGGTTAAGATATGAAGTGATGTTTATAACCACTCAAGAGCTACATGTTTATCGCTGAGGTCCAACAAACTCATAGAATGAAATTCCTCCCTTTAAATCATGTGTAGAGCCAGTTTCTTGGCGGAATTTGAAACCAACTGTTCAGGCTACTTTACAAGTCACTATGCACCAACCAGACCTTCTTCCGCTTCACTACATCGACGTCCTGTCCTAAACCTTACTACTGATAATAGATAATAGTTGTGTATGAGCAGAATTTGTAGGAAAGGGACTAAAGAGTCAATAAAAAGTCTAAAATGAGGTGTTACCTGTTTCCTCTATCCCTGGTATCCACTCAGTGAAACTTCTTTTCAGCGGAACAGTACATCCAGTAATCACAGATTTAAGGGGAGGGTGGATAAACATTTTTTTAGTTGTAGCTCTGGGAATCGTGGCTTCTTACCTGCAGAAATGAAATTATCACGGGATATAAGCTTATAACGCTGAACATTTCAAAAGAGGAAGTTCAGTCACTCATAAGGATTAACCTTGTATGGAATTCCACATGAGGTTGAGTTTTATTACACCTGTAATAAACACATGAATCGTTCTTGATTCATCGAGGCCACATGGAAAAATCAGTGTTCCCTGTGAGCAGCACCATGTAACCGCAAAAACTGAATAGGCCTTATCCGATCTGCTGCCTGAAAGGAATCCAATGCAAATTGCGGAGCTGGGCTTTTTCAACTACAGGGCTGATTGATGCCTTATGTCAGGCTCATGTTAAAAATACACATGGGCTGATATACGCGACTCCCGACTCGTTTTTGCCCATTGAATGCCTGAAACCTTGGCACATTGTTCGCCACACAACTCTGCAGTTTATTAAAAGCTGCAGCTTCCTCAACAATAGCGATGATCTGTGTTTTTTTGTCATCTCCGTCACGCTACATAACTGCCAGATTCTTTTTTTTTTTTAGAGAGAATGATTAGTCTCAAAAGGATAAAGAGATGAAGAGACTAATTGCAGCTGCACAGATTCTGGTTTCTGCTGCAGAGTTTTGGCGAAAGCATCCATTTGTGATCAGTCAGTGATACCTTGTTTATCTCTTCTGGTCTAACTGGTTAAGACTTCTTGGATTTAGTTTAAATGGCCTCGAAGAAGCATGTGGTTTCTCTGCTGTCTCCCATTACTGCTCTGCTGCATTAAGGTGCACGGGCCGATTTTATTTATAGAGCTTAAACTGAAACAGGCATGGAGGTTTTGTAATTTGTTTATAATACAGCTGTAAACTGACCGCATTCATTTCACCATCTGTTTGACCGACATCGGTGTGAAACACGGGAGGAACAATCTTGAAAACCAACATACCCACAGAGACAAAATATTAAACCGATTGTGATTGGACTAATCAAAGGACACGCTGTATGTTTTTTTGTTCTGTGATGCAGCTGCTGCCTGTGTGTAGCATCGTTGTAACTGCGGTTTATTTAACGCAGATGTTCCTTTGTTTCCTTCTTGTACCTTCAGAGATGCAGAGACGTTTCTGCTCGACTCCAGAAAGGTCCAGGGGTCTGACGGCGGCTGGCTGGTGTTCGACATCACGGCCACCAGCAACCACTGGGTGATGAACCCTCAGCAGAACCTCGGCCTGCAGCTCTGTGTGGAGACTGTCGATGGCAAGTTCAGCTTTTCTTTCTATGAGTTGCACATTTGTTCCTTTCATCATAACCTGCCTAGATTTAGCTCAGAGTCTTGGAATCTAAAAGTGTCCCGGAGTTCATCTTTCAAGATATTCCACAATGTCTGCATGTGATTAAAAACAAATTTTCATTGATTTAAGAACAAATGCAACTTTTATATTTGACAATCTGTAGTTTGTGATTAGTTATCACTAGTAAATTATCAGAAATCCACAAAGAAGATTCATGGGTTGACCCGGTCTTTGTGTTTGTACGATGCTGGACTTCAGACTCACACTGAAAACAGTCATAAAAGTATAAAATATCCTGTTTTTCTTTCGTCTTTTTTTTTTTTTGTTAAAGTTTTATTTACCTGCTGATTTTTCAAAGGACGGAGTATCAACATAAAATCTGCTGGAATCATTGGGAGAAATGGGCCGCAGTCCAAGCAGCCATTCCTGGTTGCTTTCTTTAAGGCCAGTGGGGTGCTGCTTCGCTCTGTCAGAGCTGCAGGCGGGAAAAAGAAGAGCCACAATCGCAATAAATCTACCAATCAACAAGAATCATCTCGGGCACCGAAAGCTGGCGGTACGTGCACTTATATGATGTCGCTGTTGAGACATGAAATCCCTAAATAAACCACATCCATTTGCCTTGTTCGTCTCTTTTGTCAGACTTAACCTGCAGCAATATATCTCACAGTAACCAGAATGCTGTTAAATTAAATATAATAATGTCATTGTCTGTTCACAGTTTCAACTTATAAGAAATGTGCACTAATATATTCTAGAGGGCAGTCGTCCATGAGATTGGGATGAATGAGCTCACACTTGCATGGCTTTAGACCTTTAATCTAGTCGATAATTTTCTCCTGCAAATTGATCTTTTGTTTGTTCCTCTGAAACTTTCTCTTTTAAATTGTTATTCTGGCAAAACAACAAAATTTTGACTTTTTAACTAGAATGGCACCAAGTAGAGTGAATACATCAGCCAAGGCCCAGCAGTTCCCTCATTAAAACCACATTTAAATCCAATCCAATATTTATTTGGATCTGCACCAAACTGCACACACTTATAAGTATAAGTCCTCCAAACATTTTTTCAACAAGATCCACAAACTATTCTCTGAGAAATAAACGTAAAGCTTGCAATGTTGAAGAAAGCATCCAAGCAACCTTTCACTGATCCAGATCTGGACCAAAGTTCTTTTTTCGTTCATGTCTCACCCCTGCTAAAGGCAAATGCAAACATAATTATTGGAGGTAAAACTCTATTATTCTGAAGTTCCGTCTGATCTGCATGTCAGGCGTATTAAGCCAAACTGATATTGCTGTGAATATATTAGTACAACAGTTAGCGGTGTAGTCCTTAATTCCCTGTGCTGCTCAGTTCATTAATCATTTGTCATTACTCATTTGGAAGATTAATTAAAAATCCAGCAGGGTGGTTGGATGAATTACTGTTATCCCCGTGTTTGACTTGAACTGCAGCTCTCCAGTTACAGCTTCTCCACATCTGACTCCACAAGCAATAAAACTTTGCAGTAACATTCGCTCTTTGTTGTTATTTCAACATTTATTGGAAACATTTCCAAGCATCATGTTAATGTATGGATCCACTGTGAGCATTTCCATATTTGCTTAGCGCTGCATATGGTTTTAATGCATTCGGTTATGGCTTTCCTATGTAACTGCCGTGTTTATCTTCCAACAGTAAGTGAACAGCACGTGTTGTTTCTTGTCATATAATGAGTAATCTTAATTTTCAGATTATAACACCAGCGAGCAGAAGCAAGCCTGTAAGAAGCATGAACTTTACGTCAGCTTTCGAGATCTGGGCTGGCAGGTGAGACCATATGATTTCACACCTCTGGTGCGAAATGAACACAATAAATTACACCAGATTGTTGGGTGACGTCGAGAAAAAAACGCATCCAGTGTTGTAAATAAGGGAAGTAAATTTTGCCCTTCTTGTCAAGGATTGGATCATTGCGCCTGAGGGCTACGCTGCTTTTTACTGTGACGGCGAATGCTCGTTTCCACTCAACGCACACATGAACGCAACAAATCACGCAATCGTGCAAACCCTGGTGAGTGTTCTTTGCACATGTTTGCTGCAATAAAATCCAAGCTGACATAATGTTCTCAGCGCAGATATAATTCATATTCAAACTGTTGCACCTTTTTTATTCTCTCACTTCCAGGTCCATTTAATGTTTCCTGAGAACGTGCCAAAACCGTGTTGTGCCCCGACCAAGCTCAACGCAATATCAGTTCTTTACTTTGACGACAGCTCCAACGTCATCCTCAAGAAATATAGAAATATGGTCGTTAGGTCTTGTGGTTGCCATTAGGGGACCAGTGGACTCACTTTAATTTATGTAATCTGGTATGGGAATCGCTGGAAAAAACACCCCTGCTGCAGGTGTCATGTGATGTACAGTTTAATGTATATAACGTTTTACTACCTAATTTATTTTCTTTTTTTTAAATAGCACTGAATATTGTCATATTTAAATGATTAGGACAAAATGATTTTACTTCTACGCCAGTTATCTCATAACTCTTGTGTCCGTTGGCATATACTCTCTCTTAGTTACGTCTGTATGATGCGTGTATGAGTAAATTATTCACTGGAGTCATTTTAATACATTAGGTCAATTACTCTTCTGCTTGTTTTCCCATTTAACTGAATAAAATGTGCTGTAGATGCACATTGAGATATCCAGGATCACACTTAGAGGTCAGTATATGATGGTTTTTTTCTTCGGTGCTAATGTTTTTGTTTGTTTCGTTAATGGACCAACAATTACAAATGGCGGTTGCAAGCAGAATAGGTCATAAAATGCCGCATTAGGCCCTGAGTTGTACCCTGCCACTCGCCCACCGCCAGCTTGGGCTCCAGCTCCCCTGCGACCCTCATAGAATAAGCAGTATAGATGATGGATGGATGGATGGAAATGCTGCTAGAAACTCATTTGATAAACAAGTTAGACCTCAGGATTTCTCCTATAGCTTTAACGTCACAACTTGAATGGGCTGTTGGAAATATTTGAAATCAAATTGGATCAGTGGAAAAAGGAAAACAGTGAGTTTTCACTAACATAAACCAAACTGCCCAAAGCTATTCTCAAGCTGTCACCGTCTTTCAGCACTGATACTGTTTCACCATTTCCACGTCAGCTTTTTTCTCTCGTTTTGTTCTCAGAAGGGGATTTTGTCGGCCTGGAATGAAAATGCTCTGTGAATGCTTTACAATTTATTGTCATCTTTTACACAACCGTAATGTAAATCTCTTCCTTAAACACTGTTTCTTGTTTCCTCTGCTGGATCGACGCTGCAGAACGCTCTGCGCTAATTCTAGTTTTTGTTTGAGGAAGCTATATCTCAATGTAGAGTGATGTGTATTTTAATAAATATACCACTTGAAAACACCCACAGTATCTTGTGTTTTGACTTTACTCGACGTCACAGCTTTTCTTGCATCCGAATATATAAATATAGAAACACATTTAATCTAGAATTCAACTTGTCCTTTTTGTATTTCTGTTCGGGGCTCTGCGGCCTGTTTCCAGACGACCGCCTCAGCTTTATAAATGTTTGACAAGTGTGATATAAACTTCGAGTCCACCCACAGAGCTTGTTGACATGCTCATGGGGAGTGGTAATGCTAGTGGTCCGGCACTAACAGTAAAGCAGTGCTGTGACCTCCAAAGCCCCCCCCCAAAGGGTGATTATCGCTAGGCTGCCAGTGGAGAAAGGTATATCATTTTGTAACCAATCCCTTCCAGATTATGGAGGGGAAGACACTATCCATCACATGATTTATGCATCATGTATGACACACCTCATCTTTGCTTGCATTCTTTACACTCATATTTTGACTTGAGCCATCTGCTCAGGGCTATAGGATTCACCCCTGGAAACAAAGCGGAGACCATAAACTAAACTGAGCGAGTTGTTGCGTCTGTGTTGCGGTCGGAACGAGCAGAACTTCCAGAAAGTGCTATTTCCAGAGAAGTGCTCTGGTAACACGCTGATTTTCAATGGTCTTGGAAATGTAGGGATTAGGTTAAGGATTAATATTTATTTGCACAACTGTGTTGGCCTTCACTGAACACAGGATATGTACTGTTGCGCTCTCTCTACTCCCACCTACCCACTTTTATAACGTTTTTTTCTCTGACACGGCAGAACATTGAGTGACTGTATTTCACTTAATTAAAAGCAGTGGCTGGCCTGCCCAGATGTTATGTGGGCTGCATCTTAAAGGAGTGTTGACATTCGGTGAATAGAGAAGGCCACCTGCTAACTTAACTCTTGGCTTGAGGGGTGATTTGCATTCCTGTGGCCTGTTGCCTGGCATGATTACTCCTAGCACTTCACAATCCCATCTACTGTTTAATATCATGGATTCTTTCCAATTCAACTCCATTTCTTCCTTTTCTGTATAACGCAGTGAAGAGCTGCAATGAATGAACGCCTATTCGGCCTTGCACTCCTCCCGACAGAAGCCCCCTGACCACATGAAACCAGAGGGTAACAATTGCCATGCTCAGGGGCAAATTAATATATTGGCCTCTTCTCCTCTGAGACCCCCGTGGTCAAAAAACAGCCTGGAGTGAGTCAGAGGTGCCTCGACATTCATCAGATCAGCACTTCTAGTGGCCACTTCTGAAACAAGCTGGAAAAAGGGTCAGACCCAGTGGCAGTTTACTTTTCATGAAGGGTTTCTCGTGCATTATTCATGCAATCATTCATTCATTCAGGTTTACCGTACATGTCGCGGCTCACTGTTGGCTTTACATAAACACTCTTACATAATGTCAGGATGTGTTTCCAGGTGATGACATTTAGGTTTTTTTATTTCTACCACAAACATGTTTATTCCCTTTAAGTGATTGAGAAAACAGATGTGTCCATGTGAGCGGCTGTTGGGAACATGTTCTTATTTTCAGAAAATGTGATATATTTAGTTTAGTTAGGAGAGATCATCTTGAAGCTCTCAGCAGAGCGGGGACTGGCCGTCGGTCAAAAATTACAAATGCTTAATGATTTAGGTCGTTTTTTTATCTAAATCATCACCAGCAGTCATGCAGACATTGACAGATTACTCGCAAAACAAAAACTGTTGAGGCTGCTGTGATAAAAACGATGATCTTGTCAGACCACCGACAAAAGTGCTGGAAGCCACAAAGATGTCGTCTTACCATATGTGTATTTGTCTTTTTGAACAACGGCTAAAACCCTCTTCTAGATTAGTTATATCTTTGGCATCCAAGTAAATTAGACTATAATAATTAAAAGTAACTCAAGATAAATAACACTTTATAACTATGCAATAGAAATATTGAAAGGGAAATAGTTTGTTTTCCTTACTAGTGAAGTGCTCGTTTGGAACTTGTCTGTTTGGAATGTTGTGTTATCTTGTCCTCTGTTAATGCTCCGGAGCTACTTCAGAATTCTTACTTGTCATTAGTGAGTCATCCTCAAACACTTTTTATTGTTGGTGTGCTGGATGTTATCCATGTTGCAGAGTGAAGTAAGATAACTTTGTGTTCATCTTACCTGGTTTATCTGCAATGAAGATTTAATAGTCAATGTTTTTTTCATAAAATGAATGAGATATGGGTTCTGTGGAATTAGTTTGTAGATTTTATAAAGAAAAATGTGTAAGGAGTCCATTTACTATTTTTCTATGCATGGCTCCCTAAACATTTATTAAGTTAAATTCCCATCATGGATTTATTTACTCGATTTTGAGATGTTTATAATTCTGTCCAATTAAGTAGTGAATGAAATAAATGTTAAATTTGACATAATTATATCCATAAACTATGAATCTTAAAATGTACTCACAGTCTTATCAGAGTTCAAAAGGCCAGTTATTGTAAAGACACAATTCTAGTTTTTGTTAATATGCTCAGTTTGTGCTAAGCTCGACTCGACTGGCAGGTGACGCTTGTTTTGATCACTCTCTGGACAATTTATTACGACTGCAAAACATAGTAGTTACTGTTCGTTTTGTTTAGTGACTCCATGTCTCATCGATTCGCCCTCTGTTAACCAGAGATCTTTTTCTTTCTGCCGCCCCGCGTTTATTTTCACAGTCTCACGTTGCAGTCCATCCACAAGGCAAGTGAAATTGTATCTAATAAAAATGTTGTGCAGTTTACCTAATTCATCTCCCCACATATGGTTCTCCTTATTTGTGTTCTGTGGGTGGGCTATGATTTCCATACAGCTCAATCAGTCCCTCTTGAGCGAGGGGGACCATATGGGTCACATTTTTACATGTTGTTTGGTATGACAAGGCTGCGGCGGGACCGGCGAGGAATGTGTCCTCACGGAGGGCAAACGCAGACGCTCTCCGTTCTGTTTGCTTGTTATTCACATAAATGCACATTAGCTCTCCGAGCCAGAGAGAAGAGGACTCTGGGTTCTGGGAGTTACAACAGTCCTTCTGTGAACTCAACTGTCACTTCCCATTACCATTAGAGGTGGCACCTGTGCAGTTAAATCTATATTTTGAAATCTCGTTCTTTTAGTTAAACATGTGCATTAAAATGTCTGAGCAAGGTCATTTCATGATTCAATAGCACAGCTTTTATGAGACGATTATTAAATCTAAATAAATCCATACATCCTAGCTGGGTTTTTCCGTTTTCTTTTTTTTCTATTGCAAGGCAGCATTTTATGAACATATTTTTTCCATGAAAATACAGGAAAGCATATGAGTCTCAGTAGAAATAAAAGCTTCTGTCATGATACGCTAACAATGTCTGTGCTCTTCGTTTTGCTCGGATTAGTTATGTTCTCCTGTCGCCCATCTATTGAACAATTTATGTCAAAGAACGCATAAAAAGTTCTGAAGGAGGAAAAAGAAACAAACCAAAGCAGATGCAGAGATGTGAATCTGCTACAGAGGCCAAGGATATTTCTAGCCTGTATTAATCATGCTGTTTTACTGTATCACTGAGCATTTAAACTGATGTTTAATATGTTGCCAAAACAGGGCACATCAGAGGAATATGGGCATTTCTGGGGACAATTATGGAACAAAGAACAAAAGTAAGACAGAACAGAAACACAATGCATCCTATCAAGGTTAAACTTTCCTATTAAAACCTGCTGCTGTTTTGGTTTAATTTAAAATAAGCAGATTTCTTCCTAGTGTTTAAATTCAATGCTCTGACTCTGTGTTAATCACAATCACGGCAGTAACTAAGGAAATCTCAAGTATCTTTTTGTGTTTCAAATGTAGAATAAGGTATTACAGCTGTTAAAGAACTGCAGTTATACAATTTTCTTCATTTACCCTCTGCAGCTGTTTAGAGAAAGACATTTGCACATCTTATATTTCTTAATGAGCATCTGTATTCAAAGATCTACATTCATTTCATCAATCATACATACATGACAAGTTCCCAGTATAACAACAATACGTTGCATCCAGCTCTTGAATACAATTTAGTATGCAATTTTCCTAAGTATAAAAACTATCTAGAGTGAACATATTAATAATAATACAAATAATATATAAATGAAAGAATACATACATAGATGTGGTACAAACAGACATTGGGTCATTGCATGCAACTGAATGACATTACACATCGTGAATAAACACATAAATAAGATATAATATACATGAGAATTATTGCACATATTGGATGAAATTACACCAACCAACAAATAGATAAATATAACAGACATGTTGTATTCTAATCTTGTGTAAACACAGAGTATAAATCTCTTTCCAGTATGTCCAAGAATTTATATAATGCATGTTACACAACACTAAAATATTTAAGATAATATTCAAGGCTGTCAGGGTTATTTCTTTTCCACTGTACTCCATAATACACAGTATTGAGTGATGGAAGAAGGTGTGAAACTGTGAGAACGCGACACATCCACTACCCCCCCGCTGTGTTTGGTTCCGTCCTCCATAAACATCTCACCCTGACAGTGCTGAATGAAAAGGCCTTTTTTTAGATGTGATATTTACTGTATACGTCTATGTCGTCACACCACCGTCATGTAATGAACAAAACGCTCCTCTACTACTGCACCAATTTAGAAAGAGAATGGAGATGTTAACAGCCACCACTTAACCCACTTCACCTGAGTTCTGGCTGCTGTAAATTCAGCTGTGAAATTCAATTTCTCCCACCAAAGGATATGGATACACCGAAGGAAATCTTTTTGCTTTATGATCCAGCCAGAGCTGTAATCCAGCCATGTCGTCCTCCACGGTGCAGTATAAAAATCTGTACAATATATATCTGGCCGTGAAGAAACAACCTGTGAGAATGTGGTGTTGACCTGTGCCCTTGTGCGGAATGAGCTGATGACTTTAGCACGTTGGAATTAATGATTATTGATTTTTAACTGTGTGTTATTTGATCTCCCTTCTTATTGTATTGTTCATTATTCTTCACAGTTACATGATGCTTCTCTTAATAAGCCGGACAACTTGCATTCTATGAATCAGCACTAAACAGACGTGTATATGATCATGTGTGGACACGAACCCGGCACACAGGTCAGTGGCTTTGCGACTAAAAGCCACGGGACACTCTGTAGTGTGATCGCTGTGAGGATAATCTTTAACACACATGCTGTCTCGAAGGGAAGCTCTGGAAAGTTGGCTCTGAGTGGACCGGCCTTCCTGAAGAAACTGTGAGGTAGGCTGCTATTTTTATCAGGGCTTTAGAAAAAAAATTTGTATGTGGTTGTTTTTTTCTCTTGGCACATGACTACGATGGGAATGAGGTGTTTTGATGCTTTTCTTTACATAAGAGCAAGATTTTTGATTTGTGATATATTGCTGTGATCCTGCAGAACATCTTAGTCATGATTCTCTTTCAATTATTCACCATCAAGTGTCGGTGCTTCCACCTTCCCTGGGTATAAAAGCCTCTGTCATGAATGCTTCTTTCAGGGGCGATGATAAGGTGCTATACGCTCCGCACCACGACTCTCATGTTGTTACAGTTCAGTTAAAATCCATGATGTAGAAATTGAAGACGGATGGAGGATGAAAAGTGATTTAATCTGGTTCCTGTTTTCTTTCTCCCACTTTGTTTTCAGTATATATCTGAGAGCTTAAAATCCTCTTTCATGCAATGCCGAAACCTGTGCTCCATAAAGTGCTGCTTTTCACATCTGTTTCTTTCTTAGCGCACAAGAAAGGAGAATAGTCCCTTTCTTTTATGCGCAATGCTTTCCAGTGCAGGAACATGTTTGCCCTGTTTGATTTTTATTTAATATTTTGAAGCATCCATCATCTGCTTGCTCTCCAAAACCCTTGTGTGTAAAATATATTGTTCTCGGGAGACAAACTAGCGCAGAGACATCCTTTTTCCTGTCAGGGCGAATCTGTTTGCGTAATCTACACAAACGTATCGTACGTTTGCAGGGTTTAATCTCCAAAAAGTTGTTTGTGTAGTTGTTTCTATTTGTCAGATTACATCAATTTCTGAGGTTTGGAATCATGAAAAATCAGTTTGTACTGTTGTGATACATATATCCAACATTTGATTTGAGTAAAACACCATAATCTGACAGAGAGTCTTGAAAATCCTTCATCCTGTGGAGACGCTCTAAAAACAGTGGACTCTACGTCAACAATTCTGCTCATGTAGGTAACTTAGTAAGATCCAATCACATTAAAAGTAATCTGATCAATTATACCATATAAAAGCTTCACCTATTCGTGTTTGCTTGAACCCACACCCAACATTTAATATCTCTCTGGTTCAAAAACGCTATTTTTCTTTTTCTCACAAACGTCAGATAAACCGTTTCAAACTCTTACTTTTATTTGCCAAATGTCAAATCTTCCTCGACGCGAAACCTCACCTCAAACTTGAAAGATTCGGCTCATCTGTGTTGCATTGATTCCAAAAAGCAGGAAAGACCCCGAAGGCCAGATCTTTGACGTGACCCTCCGCAGCTGGTATTTGTCAAGATAAACTGTAGCTGCCGAGTTAAATCTTAAAAAGGCCGGTTAGGGTTAAGTGATTGATGCAATTATCATTGATTTTAGAAGAAACATTGAGAAGGCATGTGTTTCCTTGAAAAGTCAAGAGACATCAAATATAAATGATGAATTACATTTGTTATGAATGTAACAACAAGAGATTTCTCAACCTTGCACTGTGATAGGGGATTATCAGATATAATTGGTTGCATAACATTTATTTAAAAGGTTATGAATACAGTACACATACTCAACCTTGTGCTCTATGGAAGCAGACTGATTAAAGAAATAATTTGCTCTAATTTTGTGCTCCTGCAAAATGTTCTTGTGTGTTTAGAGCAAGGATTTACAGCCATCTGAAAATAATTTAAACCACTAAATCCGTGTCATTATTCCAAATGAATGAACTTTTTTCTTTTAATTTTCAGGAAACTACAGCAGAAAAGAAAACCACTTTATCCATTTTTGGCAATAATCAGTATGTGAAATGCCAAATAAAAGCATGAAAATGAGGTTTAAAAGTTCTGTTCTTTAAAAAAGTTTTTCTGCACCTCAGAGAGGCATGAATATGTAATAAAAGGTAATACGCTGAAAGGCTTTTTAAAATGTTCGGATAAACATCAACCTTGAAGTGAAGTTTTTTCAGGGCCGATCATATGAGTCGCCCACCCCCCCCGGGAACGAGGTAGGGGTCTCTCATCACGGAGCAGTTTAGCGCGGTGAGATGGTTGAGTGCTAGGACTTCATTAAGCCCCTCTATTGTTAACATCTGGGTTCAGAAGAATGGTTCTTTCTCTGGTTAATGTTGCCCGGCCTTAACAAGGGATTTTATTACACCATGCAGTTGACATTGGCAGCAGTGGCACGTCTGGCAATCGAAACCTCCTCCACTGTTCAGGTCACAGGAGATCAATCAAAGCAACGCGTTTCCCTGAAGCGTTCAGTTCTCACCAGAGCAGGGAGGTGAATGTGCATCTAATCTCGTTGGGGAATCAAGATAACTAAGATTGTTTCGAAATGATTCCCCAGTGAAAAAAGCACTCAGTCTTCACAAATCATTAGTGCAAACATTTTTTTCTTTCTTTCATTACGCCCTGCACATATATGCATTCCAGTTTTGTTTCATGCACACAGTATATTTATCCACTACTATCCCAGTCCATTGTGAAGCATCTCTCATATCGCTCTATTTACCATTTTGCTTCCTCTCTCCCTCACTCCCTCACCCATCCCTCTCTGTTTTGATCCCCCTCCCTGCTCGGGAGGTGGCTGCCATGGCAACTGCTGAATCATCCTCCATCACCAACAGTAGCCGCTCCCTCTAATTCCACCTCCTCGTGCAGCGAGGCCCTCCATCTTCTGGGCCTGCATTAGCAAATTGACCGCACGCTTCAATTTACCCATATTAGCTGCAGCGGTCTGTGCAGGTCAGTCTCAGAGGAGTCTCGGGGGTGCAGCAGCAGTCGGCTGAACAGCAGCTATTCGGATGGGTAACGTACCCACTACCGTGAAGCACTGCTTGAGCTACGAGCAACTGGTCCAGGACTACCCATGGCTGAGGCGCTGGCTGCAGGAGGAGAAGGTGGGCGTCCGTTTTTTCTTGTTTCTAATCTGCTGCACATGCTCTGCCGCATGACTCTCTCATGACAGAGAGGCTGCACAGAGGCCGGCTGATGACGGCACTAACGCTGCGTGCTGCTTATGTAACAGTCAACTGAAATTCTGCTCTGTGATATTTACATTCAATCAAACCAGCTAAGAAGCTCTACATTATGTAACTTCACAGCATCTTGTAGCTCCTTGTTTTGGTTTTGTGGCCTGCACATTTCTTGAATGGTTGAGTCTGATCATCTGCTCTAATAAATCCCCTGTGGGGGTTTTCAACTGTTACAGGGGTTGTAAAGACCAAGCACTCAAATATTTAAAATGCAGTATCATTGACAGAATGCACTTAATGTAAGTAGTATTAGCAGAAGTCCTGTATTACTAATGAATTCACTTGTAATGGAAGCAGCATTTCATTGTTGTGCTGTATTTCTCTACAAGTTAAAGTTCCATCTGTAAATGCATGTTTCATTGTCTACCTCATTCTGAACGTCTGGTGCTGAATCTCTCTTATCTTATTTCTCTTTTATGGTGAAGTAAATTCAAAAATGTACATTGATGTCACCACCACTCAGTTTTTTTTTTTACCACCGCCTCGGAAGTTCTGCTTTCACCCCAGTTAGTTTGTTGGATTATACAGAAAACCACAAAACCAATTTCAGAGTGGATGGTTGGGGCCTGGGGCTAAGAGCAACCCATTAAACTAGGATTACTACCTCACTACCTGTGAGGATTAAAATGCACAGGGCCAGGATAGAGTTTTTTTACTTTTTTCACCACACCAACAGCATGTTCAACTTTTTAGTTTATTTTTCATTTCCTGTGTATTTCTACTACAAGAACAATCATGTGTATGATCGTACAGCCCTGGCAGAGGTATGCGCTTTCCTGAGAGCCGTTCCAGTTAGCTAATATTTTCACAATAAAAAGTGATACTTAATCTCAATTTGGGTTTTAAAGTACAACCTGAACTTAATAGATGGTATATAAAGATGGACGACATGACAGTCTGAGTTCTAAAGTTATGAGGTTCACATCAGAGAAATACCCAGATCCTGAGAATATCTCTTGTGGTTTGTGTGGACTTACCCTCACCTTCTTTCCCAGATTTCTCTTTGTGACGCATCTCCTGTTTTTGCATCCTTCTGGCCTGACAAGCTCAGTTCTGTTTTGGTTCTCAGGTTTCATTTGGCTTTGAGGTACAGAGAGTTGCTTCATGTTAAAAATGACATGTCCCGGAGCATCCCCTGGCTAAAGAATGACTGAGTGCCCATCCTCTCCTGACTCTCTTTTCTGTCTCCAGACCATCACAACTCAAGAGTATCCAGAGTTTGTTAAAATCGTTGAGGTTGGGCCCAGAGACGGACTTCAGAATGAAAAGGTATATACTCTCACCTCAGTCAGGAATCTCATTTATATGTGCCCTTGATTTGTCACCCCCGGAAACCCCCATTTTTCCTGTATCTGTCATACATAAAACAATCCATAGCATATGGGTTGTGTGCCATAATTGCCAGGAGCATGTGTTTCACATTTTCTTTGAAATTGAATAGGAAAGATGACACGACTTCTGGTTTAGTTTACTCTGCTTAGCATGTCACAGTTTTATCATTTCCTCATTGCACGCCACCAGTTTTACAGATTACACTGGATGCAGGAATAATTTTGTTTGCCACAACGTGTTATTATGTGAAATATTGTATATTTTTGATAGACCTTAAAATTGTCAAGCAAGATTCAGCATGCCAAAGTAGATGTTGATGAAATTTGCAAGCAGCATGGCAAAAAGAAAGAAAGAAATGTCTTCCAGTTGTACCTCCCATCTTGAGCAGAATCAAATCCAGAAAGAATCTTTTCCCTTTCAATCTTCCCCAGGAAATAGTTCCGACAGGGATAAAAATCCAGCTGATAGACCTGCTGTCAAAGACAGGCCTGCCTGTGATCGAGGCCACCAGCTTTGTGTCTTCAAAGTGGGTACCTCAGGTAATACCTCTTCTATACACACAGAGAAAAAGTGCTGATTGATCTATCAGAATTTCTCTCTCATCTACATAAACACTTCAGCTCCTGCATCGTTGTAAAGAATATTATAAGACTCTCGTCATGTACAGTCACCTTCTCATTCCCTGAGGTAAATTGTTCCATCATTTACTTCCTGAGCAAACATGGCCGTGTTTTGTTAAAGCTGAGAAATGCAACGTAAAAAAGTGTTTCTGTCGTGTGAGGATTGTCTGCGATGTCATGTGAAAACATTAGTGCAGGATGATGTATTCTCAGGAACACATTGAGATGATGTGAAAGGTTTATTTTCCTACATCATATGTTTTCTCCCCCTTCACTTAGATGGCCGATCACACTGATGTGCTCAGAGGAATCCAGAGAACACCTCATGTTCAGTACCCTGTGTTGACACCTAACATGCAGGGTTTCCAGGATGCTGTAAGCATTAATTATTAATTCAGCACAATGATCTCCGCTATAGACCACAACTGTTTACCCATGCTTGTCAATTTGAGTTACTTCTTGTTTTGCCTGTGCTTATGTAAGTGTCACTCCAGCACAGTTTTACAAGTTCATTTTTCTCTCCCGTGTTAAGGTAGCAGCCGGCGCTACTGAAGTGGCCGTGTTTGGGTCAGCGTCGGAAACCTTCAGTAAAAAAAATATTAACTGCTCTATTGATGAAAGCATGCTGAGGTTTGAGGAGGTCGTTAATGCTGCCAAAGAGCGACACATTCCAGTCCGCGGGTGAGTACTCTCCTCTCCATAGATCTCTCCATTGTCACAAATATTTTGTTCACTTTATGATTCTGCTCTGATGATCACATTTCTGTCCTCACTCCAAACAAAACACTTGAAAATAGCATTTCTATATGTAGGAGGAAACACGCAGCTCAGTAATGATACCTCTTATAGCGAAGTTCCAGATGTTCACCAGGTTGTATCTGTGCATTAAAAGAACCACACGTCCAGATGGACATGAAAGCAAAGCAAACAGGGTGAGTTACTGCTAAATAGAGGTCTACCTTTTGTTACACATGGAAAAAGTAAGGCAATTCAATTAAGTGGCAACACATTTCACACACAGCTCACTAAATGTGTCTTTTATTCCATAAAGATCCATGAATTATTCCCTGGGAAATCAGTGAAAGTGTAAAAATAAAAAAGCAAATCTCGTAATGTTGGAGATGCACTGATCTGGATTTGCACCAAAACTTAATGGGTTCTTTCCAGACACACATCACATCCCTCCGTCAAGTTTTGAGGTAATCCTTCCAGCAGTTTTTGATTAATCTTGTTCACAAACAAACGAACTGACAGACGAACAAGGGTGAAAACATACACAACCACAGGCTGAGATGGATGACATGACAGCTCCCTAAAGGTGAAATAAAACAGTCTCTATTGCCTCCTAGTGGCTGGCTGCAGTACAGGTCATAAACCCAGCCTCCTCCATGTTAATTGCTGGGACATGGACCTGTCATCAACAAGCTGTTTTTTAATTCGTTATTTGATGCAGGATGAGACGTCATGATTGACAGCTGAGCAGCTCAACAGACTCTGGCTCCAAATGATGTCATCATCCCAAAATGTTTGCATTTGTATCGGGGATATTTTGGCTACTTTTGTGGAATTGGCAGGAAGTGGAGATGATTTATATACAATAAGCTGTAAAAGCACTGGATTTAATTGTGTTAAAAACTGTCTCTTTCGAAGAACCAAATACTGTTCAGTATTTACAAAAAACATAGAAGTGAGTTTTGGGTTATGAGGAAAATCTAATCACCAACCTTATGTGAACCTAATCTCTTGCAAATCTTGTTTTGGATTACTCTGAGATTTCTGGATGAGAAACAGATGAATGACTAAAATGACCAAGGCCAAACAAAAATCATATCTTTATTTAAATTGAGTGAGTCGTCTATCAACAACAGAGAAGGGAGAGTGAGTGAAAAATATTTGGCCGGTCTGAATGGTGATTTTTTTTACTTCAGTGACTGTGACCTACATATAAATCTGTTTTCAGGAATACATACAAGAATCATAGCAATAAAACAATCAGCAGCTTCAAGTTCTTTACATTAAAGTGAATTGTTACTCCATCCACTGCAGTGGTTGAGTTTTTATGGTTGGTGAAAACCACCACAAGCTGTTAAATGTTACGCACATGTATTGAATGTCTCACAAAGTTGTGTTCTTTCAGATATGTGTCTTGTGCGCTGGGATGTCCCCACGAGGGACACATCGAACCTTCCAAAGTTGCTGAGGTGAGATTAGTTTTGCACATTCCTGCTCTACAGTCACGTTGAAAGTGTAAAAGATTTAATAGAGAAAGTATCAACAAACAGTCATTTTATTTTTTTTATTAACAAAACAACTGTAGACAGACTGTTAACTGGAGGCTTACATTGGTCAAGGTTATAAAAATATTGCTGCCACTTTTTCATTCATGTCTTTGCGTGTCATTAAACCGCAGGAGAGGAGGATATTGTCTCAACAGTAAATGTCTTTTTTTTGTTTTTTCTGAAAATAATAAATTTGTAATGTGATGAAAAAATGACTGATTAACTGTGAAAATGTTGTTCTTTTTTTTTATCACTGGATCATTGTCACCTTTGCATGCGGTTCAGAGCTAATGGTTCTTTCAGTCATTTCTTCATATTTGTACTGTAAAAGAACACTGAAATACCTGAATTTTTCTCTGTGATTTAAATGAAAACCCAAATTGATTTAACATTCGCATCTTGGATAAACATTAACAGCTATTTTACAATGTGATTCCCTTTGACATTTTTTGTTTCACTACTCTTTAGGTGGCAAAGAGGTTATATCACATGGGCTGTTATGAGATTTCCTTGGGCGACACCATCGGTGTCGGAACTCCAGGTTCCATGTTTAAGATGCTGCAGAGTGTTATGAAGGAGGTTCCCACCAACGCTCTGGCAGTTCACTGCCATGACACGTATGGGCAAGCACTGCCCAACATCCTGACTGCACTACAGGTAAGAATTAATAACTGATTCAACCATCAGTACCGACCATTATGATTGATTGTTATAAATGTTATTATTTGCATAACCATTAGTAGAAGACAAATAAGAGTAGATGTAATGGGGGAAATGTTCTTGTTCCTAAATTGTCTTAACAAGAAAGTGAAACATTAGCCAGAACATTTTCAGAAATTTGCCAAACTGCTTCAACTTGCTCACCTTTGACCCTCTGTACTTTCATAGTTTTAACAGCTCCATGATGTAAAGGATGATTGTTAAAATAAGATGAGCACACCCAAAAACATCCAATATAAATTTATTTCAAACTCCAAGGATACACCCAATGAGATCAACAACTTCGTCTACAGGAGACACAAAAGACATGAATATCATAACAGTGAGAGCACAGGGAGAAAATGACAAAAACTAAACACACAAAAACACACAAGCTCTCCCGGGAACCCGAACACACAATCATTGTTAATATATGATCAGTCTTTTTTTCCGTAAAAGAAAGTGTGGTGGGGGAAGTGGGTAAGAAACGTTCACAGCACCTTACATTTCTGGAAGTCCTTACATGAAGGGGAACAGCTCCAAGATGGCTCCAGAAGTTGGGTGGAGGGACTAATGAATTCTGGGAAAAGTAAAGAGCTTGTAAATTGTCAAACCCAGGCAGGAATCAAACAGACATCTTTGCAAACAGAGTGAAGCAGAAACCTGACATCTGTGAAGGTTTGTTGAAAGGCTCTAAACTTATGAGGAAGAATGGTTGCAAAAGTCTAAAGCAACTCTGAAGAATAAAGTTACTAAAGATAGATGTTCTGTGCAAGTTGGAATCTCACCTCGATTTCTCTTTGACAAGCAAAGTATGAAAGGAACCTCTTGATCTTTGTGGCAGTACTTTATCTCTGGAGAGCCTTCAACTGCTGTTATAATAAGAGTAGTTACATTCACTTCAGAGTTAAAAGTGTTGATTCTTTGTTGTGCAAGCAAAAGACATCACTGCATTATCCTCTCCGTCGCATCCTCTTAAAATAAATTGTCTGACAGCTTTTCCTTCTGCTTCCCCCGTTGCTTGGCAAAGATTCTCTGGGCACCTTCACATGCACATCCTTCTCCTCATGATGAATATAAATATTCTTGTGGAGAGCCGCAGGCCGACTGTGGATAAATGCCCAGCCTTTGCATACATCAACATTGTTACCCACGATGACATAAAGAGCAGCAACCAGATGTGGAAGCCGCGTCCAAAGTGGTGATTCTTGTTCCAGGATATCTTTCAACTTCCTTAAGTAACTGCCAACACTGCAGAGATCACACGTCTTTTCTGAGGCTTTAAATCATATTTTCTGCTGTGGGTATTCGTATTTTAAGCTGCTCGTAATCCATCTTTTTAATTTTCAATGCACAAGTTGTAGAACATTTGAACACAGGATCTTGGAAAGCAAGCATTGTTTAGTTTTGGCTGGAATCAGGGAAAGGCAGTGAAATTCTCATGAACTAGTGCAGGGCCTGTTCTTAAACTACTTGTCCTGTGTGAAGATCTGGAATCTTCTTCAGAATTATTCCTTGTCATTAGTGATTCCTCCTCAAACAGTGTTTACGACCCAAATCTCATAAATTACGATGTCCGGTGTTTTTTTCCTCAATGTGTCCCAAATACTCTGTTGTAATAATATAACTAACATAATATAAATTTAAATTCCTCTTAAGCATATATTTTAAGTTTGAGTATGGAGCTGAAACAAATGTATGAAACTCACTATTAACCTCAATCTTCCCTTTAGCTTTAACAACAGTTTGTAAGTTTATGATGTTATGAATGCGTCCTCTGTTCGGCGAGCATTGAGACGGCCCGAAAACAAAAGTGTAGGTCACAATGAGACACACAGAAAACCAGGAACCGTCAGTCAACAAGGAAGAGGGGCATTAAGAAACATGATCTAAGCCTCCCCATCAAAAGATGATTCACAAACTGCCCACTGAAAAAAAAAATTCCCAGAATCTTAATGAACATAAGATATTTCCAAAGGGCCTTCCCATCACGGCACACGGGTATTGTAGAGAAGAAAACAACTCGATGGACGATTACATTAACATGCTCTAAAATACGCAGCTCACAAAAATGCGATCAGGCTTTTTACCCCCTGTAGAAGAAAAGCTCCCGTCTGGGTGTTTTTCACGTCTGTAGTGTAAAAGTGACATAAATCCAGACATAAAACAGAGGTAACGTAGATATGGCTGTATCAGTTCTCCGGAGCACATTGTCATTGCAGGGGGAGGAAGCTCATCGGGGGCTGGGTGGGTCAACAGATGTGAGGGGGGTCATGCACAAAGGCTCACCTATTCACTGTCTGTCGGACAAAGCAACCGAGAGCTAGGTGGATAGAAGGGCCCCGGGGGACTCCTAACTCATCTGTCGCTTGGCTGTTGAACCCTGACAATGCTGTGCTTAAAGGCCAGAGGAAAACGATCCTCTCGTTCGCCCGCTGCTGAGCATGTGATGAACGGCGCTGCAGCCGCAGACCCAACACTTTATTGTGCAGAAAATAAATAAGCTTTTGTGATTTTTTTAAGTTTGCATACATTGTAAATTCACAGGTCCCTTTCACAGTATCACCCAAGAATAAAACAGTCAGACCGGAAAACAGTGAGCTAACAAAGAACTAGAATATGGCTTTGAGTAGAGTGCATACCTCCGCCAACAGTCTCCTTAATGTCACACAAGCTGCAGCACATTACACACACTCATAGATATCAGTCCCTAAATATGCCAGATTTTTTTTTCCATCAAAATCTATGAATTATTTCCTGGGAAACTAGTGGAAATGTTTAAACAAAACGCCCTATTAGACAATATAACAGAAAGTGATAAAAAAAAACTCAGCACCCTGATCTGGATCTGCACCATGAGTTTCTCCCTGATCTCCCTTTCTCCCCTTCCATCAGTTCCATGTCATAATCTGTCCTAAAGTTTTTGGATAATCTTGCTAAAAAAACAAATGGTACCAACAAGCATGCTCAGCGGTAACAAGAGTTGTTTGTGTTCTATTATCGGTGTGTCTTGGATTGCTTTGTTTGTTTTGTGATTATTTGTTTTTTGGGACCCCTTCGAAAACCAGTTGGTGCAATAAATAATTGCAATAAATTCAATAAATGAAAAATCCCCTTTGAATAAATAAAAAAACACTTTAACGGCAATCCTAAGAAATTAGGTATATGGTATATATGGTAAATTTACATATATCACATACAT